TAGCAATCCTGTTCTCTAGTTGCACTAGCCACATTTGAAGATATCAGTAGTCACATATGGCTAATTGTTCCCAGGTTAGACAGCATGGACAGAAGAAATCACCATCACCAGAAAAATTCTACTGGACAGTGTTAGTCTAGAGGACTCCTTTTGGCATCTTGTTAGACACCAGGCTCTAAAGAGGTCAGGGGTTGAGCAGCATGCCTGCCAACTGTGACAATCCATGGTAGGAAAGAACGAGAGAGAGAGAGAGAGAGAGAGAGAGAGAGAGAGAAACAGTCCTAAATAAAGTTACTGTGGTCCAGTATTATTGACATTTGTAACCCAAGAAATATACTTACATGGGCAGAGAAATGTCAAGCTGAAGCCAGAAAGGAGTTAGGAAACAACCACTTACACACTTCACCATTCACATTTAACATTTGTAAAACTTGCCAGCTTCTCTCCATCTGCTCATGCCTAATCACACTTTGCTATTCATCCCTCAGACAGGTTTCATCTATCGTCCACTTCCTGGACTGAATGTTCCTCCATTACAACATGGACTTAAACAATAAATGCTGTTTAAATAACTCCAATAAAAATTGAAAAATGCAGACTCTTCCCAGGTTACAAAAAAAGGCAAGAACTTTATTTTAAACAAATCCTCAGTTGTATAACATACCACGTCCATATCTAAATCAAAAAACCCATAATAATAATTCAAAGGAAAGAGAGGGCTTCCATAAAAACATATTATCCGAGTGCTACTCTTGCCTAATGCTTCAGCTAAATACACAGTAGGTAGGAAAGATGGAATATGGCACTTAAATAAGAGCAACGAGAGGAAAATTGTCTCAGTCCAAACAACAGGTTTTTGAACCTTTGGTATATGTCTCAAATAAATAACCATAAATACATCTTAGCCAATAATGTCTGCTTCCAGTTTTATTAAGCCAGTGACTGTGTGCATGTGTGTGTGCTTCAAAAATAACTGATGCTATAAGTTGGGATTGACAGGGGCTGATTAAGGTCTCTGGTGTGAGCACACAGGTAAGTTCAAACCATGGCAAAATGATGTGCAGCTGTGTAGCACAAAATTAGGTTAAGAAAATGAGTAAGATCTACCAGTTAGAAATTCTGTGGCTTGAGTAGATACCCTTGATTTCATCATCAACAACAACAGCAACAAAAAAAACACATATTTTAATTTCTATCCACAGTCCATAAGCTAGAAGGCAGAAATATCCCAAAGCTCAGAAACACATGCTCAACAGTGAAATGACCATCTCACAGAAGTGTTGTTGAAATTCCCTCCCTCCCATCCCCCACCCCTAATAAACAGCACCAGTGCAATTTGAGTTTTAAAAAAATTGGAAATATTGAGACATTCCTAAGGTTTTCATAATGACTAAGAGCCAGCCATGTGGGGCTCTACTGCAAACTCTGCCCTGGCCAGTCTCCAAAAAAGCACCCCATGTAATTCCCTCTAGCTTGCAGATAAACTGTGTTAGGGCTAATATAAGGCCAGATCAAGGAAAAAGAAAAGCTGGCATGCTATCCTGGGTTTGAGAGAAAGGGGCATGCTGATGTGGGAGAAAGATCCTCAGGGATCTTTTTCTGCAGCCCAGGACAAAGGTATGTGCTGAGATGGGTCACAAATTTTATATCAATGAGTGTGTTTGACTCATGCCATTCACCAGAATACAGAGCTCAGCAGAGCTCAGTCTTGCTTGGCAGCTGCGCCAGTCCACTATTGTCAGGAGCAGGAAGGGCCATCAAAGAAATTGGCCCAAGGAAGTCCAGCTCGGCCACCTCGACATTCTGTCCAATCGTCTCTATAGAACTGACGGTGTGACGGATGATGACAGTTCTACCTTTCCTCTCTGTTGATGAAGACCTCTTAATATCTGTATCCTAGACCTTGACAGCGAGCGTCACATCAATTGGGGCAGATCTGTCCACCCTCGACTCATCATCTGCCTCCGGGCTACTTGCCACCCAGCAGGCCTTCCCCAAACCTGCCCCTTCACACGTAGGCAGAGTCACTGGACTGAGTCCTGCCGAAATTGGGAACACTGACTCGAGGGAGGTCTTTGTTTCGTATCTCATAGACAGACTTCCTCTTGGCCTGGGCCCCCCGGACAGCCAGTTTGATCTTCCGCCACCCCAGGTGGTTAAGTTCAGCCAGATTGAGCACCACACAAATGCCGCTCACAGCAAACATGAACACCAGAAAGACCGTCTTCTCGGTGGGTCTAGACACATAACATTCCACCTCCTTGATGCAGGGGTAGCGGTTACACTCATACAACCCGGGGACGCTGAAGCCGTACAGAAAGTACTGGCCCACCAGAAAACCAATCTCCAGAGCATTCCGGAACACCACTTGGATGATGTAGAAGCGGGAGATACCTTCCTGTCTTCGGAGCTTGGACCTGGCTGCTGTGCGCAGCCCCGAAGGGTGTGGAGTCAGCTCCTTAACCTCCAAGCAATCTGGTTCTGTCTCTTTGCTGGTGGTCTCCGTGTTCTGCAGCACCCCATTGACAATGGCGTTCTGCAACTTCTTATCTTCCCGCTTGCACCCACCACTGCCCCCGCCCCCAGGTCCTCCCGGGCCAGCTATAGATTCGGCAGGGTCTCTGTCCAGGGCTAGGAAGACAGTAGAGTACCGGCGTTCTCGCTGCTTGGCGGACTGGTGCACGGAATAGGTGATGAAGCAGAGGCTGGGAGTGCACACCATTATGATCTGGAAGACCCAGTAACGTATGTGGGAGATGGGAAAGGCGCGGTCATAGCAGGCCTGGTTACAGCCGGGCTGCAGGGTATTGCACACAAACATGGTCTGCTCATCATCGTACACCGTCTCCCCCACAATGGCCACAATGAGTATCCGGAAGATCACCACCACAGTCAACAGGATCCTGAGCAGAGGAAGAGGAGGGGTGGGGGGAGAAAGGTTCTCATAGGCTAAGTCACTGATGGGAAGTCCCTGTTCTGGCCTTTTCTGTTTCAGCAGTGTTACCAGTCTTTGGACAGGGGAGCTGTCCACCCCTGAGTGGTACTGAACTGGGAACCTGGAAAACAATTTTAGCTCTTCTTTTTCTGTTTGGTGCTGGTGAGCTTAGAATACTTCATATTACAAGGATCCTGCATCTGCACAGACTCATGCACCGTTTCTGGTTCTTTTGTAATATATACATATATTTAATATATAATATATAGATTCCAGCTTTATGTGAAGAATGTCTAGAAACTGTAAACACACCTTTACTCTGGCAAATGCATGCAGCATCCTTCACAGAGGATGTTTGAGGGTCTACACCTGGGGTGAGCACTGACCCTTACGTATGTAAGTTCTAGCCTCAATGTATAGAACCTGGATCTCTATAAGGACAGTTACAAATACAAAATTCACATGTCTATAAGCAGAGATAGCCGTAGGTACCTATAAGTATGAGTAAATGAAGATATACCCACATACATACATATAGATATAGATACTGGCAAGAAGAAGCCAGCCAGCCATGTGTGTGGCTCTCCGACACTAAGTTTTAACGGAGGACATGGTCTAGCCTAATAAATATCTGTTAAAGAATGATGCATCTGCTGTGATGAGCAAATCCATCTCCCCACTTGCCCTTCTCTGTCCAAATGCAATTCTGCCTTCCTTGTAGATTCTATTTAGGGAACCAGATGGAGATTGGCGCTGACTCTGGAGAGTGGGGGGGGGGTACCAGGACTGAGTCCACAAGTCCTTTTCTGATGAAGGAACCGTGAATCCCCTCCCCCCCCCTTGTGGTGCTTTATAGAGAAAGTATGGGGGAGCTGGTCAGGAGTAACTGGAGGAGGGGGGCGTCACTGGGCATCGGGTAATCCCTTAATGCAGGCAACACTGGCACTTGGACAGAGCATGGGGAGGAGGCAGAGGACGGTCTCGGGGATCCGGGGGTCGTTAGAAAGGGGCGAGGGTATTCCCAAGGGCCGCCCGACGGGCCCGCTGACGGCTGGCTTGGTGCCCTTACCTCCCGATCATAGTGGAGTGCTGCTGCACCGCGGCTTCCAGCAGCCTCTCCAAGATGGTCCATTCCCCCATCGCTGTGCATTCGGAGGCAGCAGACAAAGACTGGGCAGTACCGGGCACGTTCCTGGGTCCTGGCCCCTCCTCGGGCCTCACCTCCTGACCAGGAGCGAATTGCCCCCAATTAAAGAAGCAAACAAAAATGTTGTTCCAAAAAATAATCCACGAGCCCCTCCCCCTTTTATTGCACTTAAAAGAGGGGTGTGTGGGGGGGAGCAATCTGTGTGAGTCTCGACCAGTGGGGATGCTGGCGCGGTGCGGAAAAGCTGGCCAGCACCTCGATGCCGTCCGGGGGGTCAGGTTGACTCCCGCAGTCTCCCGGCGAGGGGCGGGGCCCGGGTGGCAGCGTGCAGGTGGCGGAGCTCCTGCCCGCGGGAGACCGGTCCCTGCGCCGCGGTCCCCGCGATCTTGCGGTAAGAGGGAGGGTCCGCGCACCGGCCCCCTGCGCCTTTCACTGGAACGGGCACCTGGCGCTCCCGCGCTGCGGCGCGCAGAGCTGGCTGCGGGGCTGGGGAATCCGCGGCCACCGCCTCTAATCCGCCCTTAAGTAGTCTCTGCCTGCGTCACGCCAGGTCGGCGGAGGGGAGCAGAGCGCGCCGTGCCGCTGTCGCCCAGCGTCGGAGCCCGAGGGGCCGCGGCCGCGCGCCGCGGGGGGGAGGAGACGGTCTGGAGTTCCCCGCTGCGCCCGGGGACGGGAAGACAGAGGACCGCAGCGTCCCTCGGGGCTTCTGGGGAGCCCAGGTAAACCTCACCTGGCTACCAGCCTCCTGCAGGAGGAGCAGACGCGTAGGTGAGTGAGGGGGGACCCGAGCAGGTAGCTTAGCTTGCCTCCTCCTGCCCCTCACCTTTAGCTTTGGGCCTTCTGAGACACCACTGAAATTCCTTTTCTAAATGGTGGTGCTGGTTGGGGGAAGGGCGCTTGTAGCCCTTACCGGGAGAGGACGGCCGCTGGCGCCGGCGGGAGGGCTGCAGAGGGTCCGGACTTCGACTTCGGTGGGTGGATCGCGTGCTGGGGGTGAGGAAGGGAGACCTGATGAGGCTCCCTGCTGGGTGACGCTTAGAGGCAGGTGTGAAGGTGTTCTGATCATGAAGGTCTGGGTACAAGGTATTTACCAACCAAACAGGTGCCTAGCAGCGAGCCGGGAACTGGCTTTGATGAGTTCTCATTTCTCCCAGCGCAGGTTAGGAGGCCGTGTGTTTCATTTGCCCGTGACTGTTGGGAGTAAAGGCGGTGCTCTTCAGGTCAGCACAGTCCAGCCTGAATTTTAAAGAGACTCAGTGTTCATCTAGCAGAAAGAGCAGTTCACAGTCTCACCCCACCCCCACTCTCCCTGTTCAGCCCTTGCTTTCCTCCCTCCCTCAAGGAGCGGATTCTAGAATCAGTCTTTAAATTTACATTCTGTTGTCAGTTCCATCCACAGCATCTACTTAATTGGTCCCAAGGAAATTGAAACAACCGCACCAGGCTGCTAATTAGCTTAAGGTCAGTTTTAGGAGACACCGAAGTTGGGAATGTTTCACATAAATGTACCAAAAGCACAATGAGTAAGGAGTCGTCATCCTTTCAAAAATAAAACTGTGAAAGGGTTGTAGCTGGTCTTAAGAATATAAATGCAGCCTTAATTACCCATAGGGAACATTCACTTAGGTGTATTACATAACCTACACCAGAACGTGATTTCGATTCAAGGCCAACTAAGTCGGTTGGGTACCTGGTGGCCCTGAGGAAGGGCCGGGAGGAAGGGCACCGAGTAGGGTCCTTTTGCACTCATAATGCTTGCAGGCAGAACACAAGCTTGAGCCCCTGAGGAGTGACTGCTCCAAGGCTGTCTCCTGGACTTGATGCTTCCAGCCCAAGGAAGCAGCTCTTCGCTGAAGAGAACAAGGGGGTCCACTAAAAATGGAGACATGTGTAGGATATGAAGGGGGTGTTACGGTTAAGGTGGGGGTGGCTTCACTCACTTGGCAGAAATAAAATGTACAAGAATGGAGGCAGAAAGAAGTCTTTCCAGTCGGCTAAACAGATGGCATGGTGTTTCCCGCATCTCAGATGTGATGCACATTCCCAGGTTTCCTCTTCATTCTCTTTGCTTCATCTGTGGCAGACATTTTTTTTTTTGGAGTTAAAAAAAAACAGATAAAGAATGGGAAAGTACCATCTTTATCTAATAAGTACCAACTTATTAGGGGACATACCTTTAAATGTCCCCTAATAAGTTGTACAATTCAAAATCACCTCTGTGCTTGCACATTTCAATCACTAGGCTATGGCTGAATTGTTAATCATCGGTTTATTATTTTAAAGATAAGCTTTAGTACGACACACGGAAGACACACCAGTATCACTGCTGTATAAACACTCAACACTTTTAGAGAGAACATATAACGTAAGACATCTATAGACTAAGTGGCTTAGTCTGTAGACCATAGGCTTGTGTTTAAGGCCACAAAAACTTATTCCTATCATTTTTTTAAAAAAAAAAAAACTACAGTTTTTACCTTATTTATTAAAAATGTAGTTGTCGGTTGCACTGCAGGAAACAGAAAAGGCACAAACCCTCATTTCTGTGTTAAACTGTATGAAAATTCATTTAGGATACTAAAATTTTGGGCTGTAACAAGCTTCCGTGGGACAAAAAATAACCTCAAAATATTCATCAATTTAAATGTCATAACCTTAAATTTCAAACTTTTGTATTTTCAAAGGCCAAAAGCCTTTCAAGAGAATTGCAAGAAGAGTGAAAATGGTATCTCGGAAAAAAAAATGCAAATGCTATTCCAAAAATTGGAACTACAAAGTCCAGAAAAGATCCAACTTTTCACTCTTTTTATTTTCAGAAATCATTCATAAATTGTTTAACACATCTATGTTTCACTTTCTCTTTTGAGCCTAATCTACTTCACTTTCAGTGAATAATTTGCCTTGATTGCTCTGCATTAAATATAAAGGGGTTCTGTGTACAGCTGGACCTCTCTGAGCTTCCTCGGGCCATTATTTCATTTGCCTAGATTCTGACCATCTCAATTCCCCTCTGATTGAAGATACTTATTTAAGTCAACAGCAAAGTTCTTCCCATTAATTCTAATTTAAGTCTCATTCTGCAGTACTAAATAAATGGCATCAGGTGAAAATCAAATATAGAGCTGATAGAATTAACCTTAGTGTCAGTAGGACACTTGGGTAGGTTAACAATACAGACACTGAGTTTCCATATCAGATTGAAAGTCTGGGGAAGCAAGGCTCAAGTTTTTGAGTTTCTAACAAGCTCTAGCTAGGTACCTGTTACATAGGCATCTGTGAGTATCCAAATCACAATGATTTCTGGGTTTGTAAATCTTTGTCTTAGCATATAGCTGTGCCCATCCATTCACCAAGTATGGAAAGCTTTATCTCATCTAGAAGGAAAAACTGCAAAGACTAGCAGAGAGTGTGGATTGAATATTCTAACTCAAGAATGGAATGCAGAATTTCTAACAATGATATAATTTACTATCTGAGTTGTACTCTTATGCTTAAAACTTCATTTTCTTCAACCACAGGTTCCCCAGTGAACCTGTTAACTCAACTTCAAGTATTTGGTAAGTGAAACCTCACTGGACCGCCATACTTGTTGTAAGAATATAGGTTGATCTATTGACCTCTGCTTTACTGGGGCATATGTTACTGGAAACAAAGAAAAAACATGGTGCTTTCCCCAGTGTCTTCAGCACTGTGGAAATCAAGCATTGGTTGGAGGAGTATGGTGAAGACACTCAGAACACCTAGTTCTTGTGACCTCGGAAAGCTGCACATTCCTTGATTGGAGGTGGTCTCAGTTTTCCTTTATGATATAATTATATTGAAGACAGACAGGAAAGGGGGATCCACTTGCCATGTCGGAGGTCTTTACACATTAAGGGTGGTCTGGACAACCCAGGGGAATGCCTTCTTGCTGACCGTTGGTCCCTGCTACTCTCCTCTCTATTGTTTTCCTCCTCACCGTGGTCCTGACATGTGCTAAACTATGCCAGGGCGTGCTGCAGCAGCAAAGTTGAGGCTGCAGCATCAGCATCAGCAAGGTGGCCTTGGAAAGATGATCAGAGCCCTGGACACATGTCTCCTGAGGAGCAGCAACATCTGCAGTCTCCTAGGATTTGCATGATTGGGAGGGACTCCATTCTTCTTGGGATTGGTCTCCACATTAAAGTCATTCACATTTCATTCACAGTTAGAATTAACTCAGCTCCACTTCCCCCAGTGGCCTACATGCATCTGTTTCCCAGTGAAAACATCAAATTGTCTTCCAAAGAGGCAAAACTTAACATGTTTTAGGAGACTTAAAGGAACATAAATGGCAAATGAAACCTACTCTTTGGTGCAATGATGTCTCCCTTTTTATCTTTTGTGTTCCTTCCATTTGTTTAAATCTCAGCTCAGATTTTTAGAGAAACACTTGCCTTGAAGGATACACAAAATTTACTGTCTCAAAGGGGAATAAAGCTGTCCAACCTACCGATCATAAATAGTCCTAAATATGGCCAGAATCTGTTTCCATCTCATGAGCCCAAATTTTAATCTGTGACATAGCTTCAAGAAAACATGTTTCTAACTAACGGTCAAATCTACTGTCTTCCTCCTGCTAGTCCTTTGAATAAAAGCTTATGTACCCCCTTTTAAAAAAAAAATCACAGGTACAAATTCTCCATTCATCACTCACCTTGTATATAGAAAATATACCTTATGCAGTTCTATCTTAGGGATTAACGTAATATGGCATTGTGGCCAAAGCAGATGTGTGAAATCACAGCAAATAAATTAACACTCCATTAAGAATCAAATCAGCCCTGCTGACACATAATCTTTCCCGTTTATGTCAAGTCGTGATTCCCATTCACATCGGGAGCTTCCCAGGGAGGCTCATTAGACCTGCAGGAAAGAGATTTCTTTTAAGTCAAAGCTATTCAGAAGTTATTCAGCTACAGTGCAAAAGAGCCTTCCTGGCGTCTGGGCAGCCTTCTCTCCACGATCTCTTTGTCAGTGTCCACCCCAAGCCCCAGCCACGCAAGCTATAGCTAGGCTTCCTGCTGAGTTTCCAGTCTGTATAAAAGAGATGAGGAAATTATAGAGAACATGTGTGTGGGTAGGGCGTGCCCTTGAGAAATTGTCAAACTGGGAGAGTATCTTTTGGTTGTCATCTGCACCCTGCCTCTGCTTCTTTTACACCTGTGTGCGGTACCGAAAGGCAGACTTCAGCGTTGAGTTCTTCCTGCTGCCTTAGATAAACTTCCAGTTTTAATAGGTGCTGTTGGAGTGATTCCACAGAGAAAACATCTCTAAGAGTTGGGGCTTATGCTCAAGCCCCAAGTGGACTCTACAGTGACTTCCTGAAGCTCAGCCAGTGCCTCTTTTGTCAGGATTCCAAGGACTCAGACATCTTCTTGTTCACTGGTTGTCAACCAGTCTGGCTTCTGCTCTCTCTTAGGCACCCACAGCAAAGGCGTCTATGGAGAGCCTCTTGTTTCTGCAGCTGAGTGAGACTAGAGAGGGACCACCCTTACTTGTCACTCACTCCGTGGCCAGTTTAATTTAGCGGTTCTCAACCTGTAGGTCGTGGCCCCTCCCAGGGGTCATGTGTCAAATATCCTGCATTTCATATATTTACAGTACAATTGTAACAATAGCAAAAGTACAGTTATGAAGTAGCAATGAAATAATTTTAATGGGAGGGTGTCACACCACAACACTAGGAACTGTATTAAAGGGTCACAGCATTTAGGATGATGGAGACCTTTTGTATATACTCATATTTTTACCCTGATCATAGACTGGACAAACACCCCATACCTAGGACCTACCTTGAATCTGTATCCTGTTGATCACTGAGTCCTTCATCACTGTGCTTCACCCAATCCTACCCCTTACTCCACCACCACAAAGGAAAGTAATCCGATAAGGGAACACACACAGGGTGTTAATAACTGATAACCACTTAATGTATTATCCGTCTCAGAGGAATTATCCTTATTTAAGTTGCAAAGCCTTCATCCAAAGAAATGAACATTTTTGGGTAGTTTTTCTAATCCTTTGCCTTAAGAAGGAAGCAAAGGCTATCTAAACCTTTCCAAATGATATTTCACACACACACACACACACACACACACACACACACACACACAAAACACTTGCTTCATTTATTGATCTATAAAGGGTCTAACTTGTGGAAATACGGGAATCACACAAATGTGATGATTCTTATATTTACTGCATCTTAAAATCACTGGGGAGCTTTGAAAACTCGCAATGCCTAAGCTCCGCTCAGACCAATAAAATCAGCATTCCTGGAAGTGAAATCCATGCACTTATGTTTTCAAAAGAAAAAATATTTAGCTTATTCTGGCTCCAGTATGCAGTCAAATTTGAGCCCCACTGCAATAATGTACACTATTAACTGCAGAGCAGCGGCACTCTTAATAAGCGCAGTGAGGCGAGCTTTCTCCTCACGATGGGAATGGCTGCTGCTGGACACAAAGCCAGAATTTCATTCTGAAAATGTGTTCATGTGGTCCTGTAAGTACTTAATATAATCCACACAGGCTAAGTAGTTAGTTGCTAAACTGAAAACACCCATCTCATTTCATCTCAGTCCACTCCTGGCCATCTGGTCCTCTGTATTTCCATTACAGGGCCATGTGTGTATTAATGAAATGATTGCATCCGATTACGTCTTTTATTCAGAGCACAAGAACAGTCCATGAATTCTGTCCTCCAGCAGTACTGTTTTTGTCATGAAGTCACTAATTAAGTTACTCCATTTCATGCAGAGGTGAGACTGCTGCTCATTAAGGTAAGAAAATAAATATGTTACTGCTGAAAATAAAATCATAATTTTGCTCCCTAGCAACCATAGGACAGAAACATCAATCAAAGTGTAACTCCATTTTTTTTTTGTTTGTTTTGTATTAAGCCAAGGTTTCTCTGTGCAGCCCCGCCTGTCCTGGAACTCTTCTCTGTGGACCAAGCTGGCCTCAGAGATCTGCCTGCCTTTCCCTCCCGTGTGCTGGGATTAAAGGCACGCGTCACCATCACCTAGCGTATATCCATTTAAAAATGTCCAAAATATAGCTTATACTGCTGACCAGTTTGTTACAAGTGGTGCAAAAGAGGGAAATAAAGCTAGTCACTTTATTCTCTAATTTCTTTCCCATGTCTAGAACAGGGTGGATCATCAGAGAGCCACATGCCTTGGTTATACTACTATGCAATTGTTTGGCTGAGTGGGTACCAGAATGAACAAGAATGAATGGATGGTGACTGAATGGATAAATAGCATGGAATTCAGTCTATTAACTATGACCTTTCCTATACCCCCATCTTTCAACAGCATATTTTATTTTTATACTTTTATCGAGTTTTATAACATGGATGCCAGTCCCACTTCTCTCTCCCTCCCCTTGTAACTACCCTCTGCCCTTGCAACTTAACCACCCCTCAAAATTAAAAATTAAAAAATAAACAAAAACAAAACCACAACAAAGCATAGAAAACATCTCATCGTGGAAGCTGTAGTATGTCACAGTGTATCTCAACAGTATACCCCTTTGTCCGCTCATCTTTACTTGCAAATGTTCATTGCAATGAGTCATTGGTCTGGTTTGAGGCATACTTTTTAAAAAAATCAATAGATGTTCACAAATATCTATTATGTGTCTGTAATTACTGATCCAACCATATTCTTCTAAATCACTAATCTCTGCAGTACAGATTTCTGACCTTCTCATTCATTCATTTATTCAATGAGACTTAATTCATTGCTGCCTGTGTGCCAGGAGGAGGTAAAGTGAGCAGAGCAACATGGTCTCTGACCTCATCAAATTTAAAATCTAGTCAGAGAGATATCTTCATTTTAGCCAAAGAATAATGAATCAAATAATTTCAGACGCCAAAGTTTAAGTTTAAGACTGTGGTTTAAAAAAGGCTATTGATATACAGCCTGTGATGTGTAATGGAGCTGGAAAAGGCTGACCCACTCTGTGGGAAGGCTTGGGTGATGAAAGATGTTCTATAGCTGAGTTCTAGAGGAGCCATAGGTGAAAAGCAAATGAAAAGCTGGGAATGCAGCATTCTGAGCTGGAGAGACAGTACAAAATAGACCTTAAGTAAGATAGAGCAGCATGTCCAAAGGACTGAGTGGTCTCCATGGCTCAGCAAAGCAGGGAGAGGCTTGAGACAAGGCTGGGGAAGCAGGTAAGCATTAATTCAAGTAGAATTTATTATGCTAGGTTAAAGATGCTTAAGTAGCTTCCTTAACAGTCATGTGTACCATTTGAAGGCATGCAAGAAAGGAGTAATATGAGTGAGCTTATTTTTTAAGGTTAAAAATAATTATGTGTATATGTATGTTTCCATGTGGAGATGTTCATGTGAGTGTACCACCCTCAGAGGCCAGAAGAGGGTGTCAGGTGCCTTGGAGCTGAAGTCATGGGTGATTGTGAGGTATCCCAAAGGGGTTGCTGGAAATTACTTGGCTCTTCTGTAAGAGTAAGCAGGTGCTTCTAACCCCTGAGTCTATTTGGCTTGTCTGCTAAAATCCAAGAGGGTGCTCTATTTGTATTGCAGTAAGATTCGAATAGAAAGGCATATTTCATTTCTAGTTTCTCTGATCAAGTAGCCGACAAGAAGCAAGTTCAGGAGGGCATGTTTATTTCTGCCTACAGTCTGAGGCAATACACTCTATCACCCCGAGAAAGAAAGATATAATGGCGGGAGTCTTAGGCTGCATGGTCACTTTGCATCCATAGTCAGGAATTAGTGGAAAGTGATTACTTATCTATAAAACACCACCTCACCCCAAAACAGTTGCCACAGCTGACCCAAAGGTTCCACAACTTTCCCAAACAGTGGTCAAACCTTCAGACGTCTAAGTGTATATGGGGCATTTCACATTCTGACCACAACAGCAAGAGTAGCACCAAGGAAAGAATGGGATACTGCTCTTGCAGATCCCAGCTGCCTAGACTTCAGTGAATACCCTCATGCATATACCTGCCTTCCTTCAAAGATTTGTTACACTGAAGAAACAAATCTCTAGGTTTAGCAGATGCTTACATCCACCAACAGGTAAATGAGTCGGATGACATCTCAGCAAACATCCCATATTTGTAATGCAATTTATTTACGTAGAAAACAATAGGCCCTCATTATAATGGCCAAGAGAAACCACAAGTGGATAAATCTTGGTAGCAAATTACCTACTGTGATGCCTCATCCACTCATTTTAAATTTGTTCATCTTTAGCCATAGTAAACAAATTGTGCAAGAATGCTCTCTGGCATCTATAAATTTGGAGATATAGTAAGAATGGTTTTCCAAATTAAGAAGTCCAGGTTTCTGTGTTCTTTCCCTCCTTCTACCCCTCCAATAAAAGCCCAACTTTGCCTCCATTCTGTGGTTCAGCAAAGTCTAGAGTGAAATCTAGGTGGGGTGTGGGGGGGGGTCTTCACAGAAAGAAATGTGCCAAGACATTAATATTTGGCAATGTCTTAAAACTTATTTAAAAGTGGAGCAACTGTCAAAGAGAACTGAAGAGTTCAACTACCAAGTAAGACCAACATTGTTATTGACAAGCAATTCTAAAGAGACTAAAAGTCGTGTCTTTAAAAAAAATACACAGATAGCCTGGAGAGATGGCTCAGCAGTTAAGAGCACTGGCTGTTCTTCCAAAGGTCCTGAGTTCAATTCCCAGCAATTACACTATGGTTCATGACCATATGTAATGGAATCTGAGATGCCCTCTTCTGTCATGCATGCATACATGCAAATAAAGAGCTCATATAAACAAGCAAACATTCTTGTTCCAAGCATGGTGTCATAACTCAAGAATGTTTGTTTATAAGCTCCTATCTGGGGAGTGTCTTCAGAGCCCCTTGTTAGTAGTGAAGAAAACTTTCATTATTTAAAATATCCACCTTGTTTTTTTTTTTTTTTCATTGTTGTTGTTTGTTTTATTGTTTGTTTTTTTTTTGGTGTTTTTTTTTTTTAACCACAATTTATGAGCCAACTTGGTTACCCAAATGTATTTTCATTAGTAGAACTGAAAAAGCATGTCTTAATAAGCCTAAAGTTAAGAAAAGATTTTAAAACATGGCTTGTAGCTGCATTGCATAGCAGGCAGCTGTGAGGTCAGGTCCAACTTCCCTCTACTATGAGTTACAAGTTGGGAAAGTTTTTCATGTTGGCCATTGGTACCCAGTGGCTTCTAGCTGTTTGCAAAATCAACCTTCCCTTCAGAGGACGAGTTTGCCATTACTGAGGACACTTATAAATACTTTCTCTAGCTCCAGAGCAAAATCACGATCATGAGTCAGCAAGTGCCTATACAGCTCGATAACAGTAGCAGCAGGCAGTACAGTCATGTGACCTCCCAGGTGCAGGAAGAGCCACAGCGTAGTCTGTGCACTCCGACTGTCAAGAGCATAGTTGCCAATGCACTAGAGCATTGAAGGTTCTCTGGTGAATGAGTAAGTTAGGCTGAATAGGTTTCAGTTTCATTCAAAGTACCTATTTTCTGGGTTAGAAAAGGCTCAGCAGTAGAGAGCACAGGCCTTCAATTCCCATCTTCAACACTGCACATGTCTGTATGAGCACACACACAGACATAAACAAACAGTGTTTCTAGACAAGTGTTGGACCACTACAGTACACTTCTTTCCCAGAACTATATTCAAAGTGATAGCATATATATTTACGTATGTCATTAGGTAATGTCTTTAAAACTTAAAAAAAAAATGGGAAAATAAATTACCCCCAAACAGAAGTTTGTATATGTCTGTGGGAAGTGTGTGTTGGCTATCACAAAGATTTGGAGAGTTTAGTCTGTGGTAAGATGGGGTTGGATGTGCCTGTCATCTAAGTATTCAGGAGCATTTAGCTTTAAAGCTAGCCTGGGCTATAGAGCAAGACTCCCATCACAGAGATGGCCTGCTGCTCTGTTCCCTCTTTCATAGAACTTTATACATCTTGCCAACTATTGATGAAACATATGAGTTCCCATACTCCTACTGAAATGTATACACTACAGCATTGTTGTGACTTCTTGGTGGAATACAAGATGCATACTTAATCCCCAAGCACCTTTTAATGGATCAATATCATATCTAATTCTCCTAAGAGTCCTTGAGAAGGAAGGACCGCTAAACTTGGCAATGGTGCCCAAAGATTCATCTACAACTTAGAACACTGCTGTGCTTCATAGAGATGCCCCACAGACATCTAGATGCCAAACTATTGACAAGATTAATTGCCTCCTCTTAAAGTTCTTTCTTAGTTGCTTGGTCTCCTTACTCTCCAGATTCTCTCTTGGCCATTAAGTGTTCAGCTCTTCCCTGGGAGGCTTATTCTTTACTTATGACTTCTTTGAGACTTGCATTCAGGTTTGAGCAGTATGGTGTCCTAACAAAAGCTGGAGAGCTGAAATGAGCATGAGGCCAGGCGGTGGCCAGCTTTGGTTGTTTCCAGTGAATCTCTGTGGGTACAGTTTCTGCAATGCCCTTCAATCCTCACAAAATTCTCGTAATTCTATTTTGCTTCCTACGCCTTCAAACCTCCAGGTAGCGACATCTCCCTACTGCCGTTACACCTCAGGTGCCTGAGTCTCTATCTCTTGTTCAGTTCTATACTTCATTCCTTCATGCAAACAATCTTCAGAAATCACAACTGAGTCATCCAGTTCCCGTGGGGCCCTGACTGATCCACCACTGTCCCTCTTTAGTTTATTTTTATGAAACATTGACTTAAAAAATATGACCACGCTCTTCAAACCAAAAGCCTAGATGTCTGTTCCTGTCT